TCCATCTGTGTAATATCACTAACATTAGAAACATCTTATCTAAAAATTATGCAGAAAAACGGTTCATGCATTTGTCATGTCTAGACTGGACTATTGCAATGGTTTATTATCTGGGTGTCCAAATACTTCTTTAAAAAGTATTCAATTAATCCAAAATGCTGCTGCCAGAGTCTTAACTGGAGTTAGTAGGAGAGATCATATCTCTCCAGTTTTAGCTTCTCTCCACTGGCTCCCTGTCAAGTCCAGAATTTAATTCAAAATCTTACTTCTAACCTACAAAGCTCTCAACAACCTAGCTCCATCTTATATTTGAGACCTTGTTCCATATTTTTCTAACAGAGCTCTTCGCTCTCAGACCGCCGGCTTACACAAGGTTCCTAGAGTTTCTAAACGCAGAATGGTAGGAAGATCTTTCAGTTATCAAGCTCCTCTCTCGTGGAACAAACTTCCAGTTTCTGTCTGTAAGGCTGACACATTGTCCAGTTTAAAGAATGGGCTTAAGACTTTCTTTTTTGATAAATTCTATAGTTAGAGTTGGCTTGTCATGCTGTCATGAGCTTAGACTACTGGAGGGCAAATTGATCTCATTTCTTTAAATGATTTGCTAAAATTGAAAAATTTTCATTTGATACTATTTCCATCTTAACATGTGATTCTTGACCTGCCATTGTGTATCTGTTCCTCTTTCCTGTTCCTACCAAATCTAGCCGGTCGAAGCAGATGACCGCTTGTCCTGAGCCTGGTTCTGCTAAAGGTTTCTTCTTCATGAGGTAGTTTTTCCTTTCCACTGTCACCTTCATGCTTGCGCAAGTTCTGTGATGGAGTTAAACTCAAAGCAGTCTGCTCCTCAGATAAATAGTGTTAATTATTTTTACATGAATGTTTCTCTTCAGTGCCCGAAGACGACTTCTGTTGTGACTCGGCACTATAAAACAAACTGAATTGAACTGAATTGAATTTATATCAGATATTTTATGTTATTAACTTACTTTTTATATGACTGTTTTTGTACAGTGCCGTGAGATGATGATTATCATCCACCGTCAAAATGCAAATGCAGATAATATATATTTGTGTGTGTGTGTGTGTGTTCACAATACATTTCCTGACTATCTGGACATATTTTAACAAAGTACTGCTAAAAAATTATTTTATTTACAACCACAAGTAATTTCCTTTTAGAGTCAACTTCAATTCAACATGGCTGTCACAGCCAACTGATTTAACTAACTTTAGAAAACACAAAAATAGCTATGTTTTAACTGAGTTTTACAAATATTGAGCTAAGAGTTGGTGTGAGAGTAGCCAAGAGTTATTCACTACACATATTCTGAAAGTAAAATCATGTGATGTCACTTGAGATGACCAAAGCAACTGTAAAAATCTGCAAGATTCCTTTGAGGAAAGCTAAGCTTTTAATTACTGAACTCAAAGTCCAAAACATACGATGTAGGATTAGGGCCATGCTAAGAAGAAATAAATATGTTACTAGAAAAAAGTCATGAAACGGTGTCAAAAACAGCATTGCACTCATGCTTAATATATTTTATTGTTAATCCATATGTTTGATATGTATGACTCCGTTTATGTTCTTAATATTATTTTTAATTATTTTACTTTTTATTGCCATTCCACTTCTTAATAGTATTTTAGGAAACCTGTGTATAAAAGCCCATCTAGGGACAAGTGCAGCACATTAGCTCACACTATAAGCACCATGATACAGGCATAGGACTGCTGTTTTATTCAGTTTGTCTATGTTATTGTGTGTCAATCCCTATCAAATGAACAAAACAAAAAAAATTACGAGAATAAAGTAGTACAAGAATAAAGTCGTAATATTACGAGAATAAAGTCATACAAGAATAAAGTCGTAATATTACAAGAATAAAGTTGTATGAGAATAAAG